CAATAAAACATCCAAAGTAGATGTTTTTCTGGAATTCTCTTGCTTTTTTGATGATCCAACAGATGTTGGCAATTTGATCTTTGGTTCCTCTGCCTTTTCTAAATCCAGCTTGAACACCTGTAAGTTCTCGGTTCATGCACTGTTGAAGCCTCACCTGTTGAATTTTGAGCATTTGCTTTGCTAGCATGTGAGATGAGTGCAACTGTGTGGTTGTTTGAACATTTTTTGGCATTGCCTTTCTTTGGGACTGGAATGAAAACTGACCTTTTCCAGTCCTATGGCCACTGCAGAGTTTACCAAATTTGTTGGCATACTGAGTGCAGCACTTCCATAGCATCACCTTTTAGGACTTGAAATAGCTCAACTGGAATTCCATCACCTCCACTAGCATTGATCATAGTGAAGCTTCCTAAGGCCCACTTGACTTCAGACTCCAGGATGTCTGGCTCTAGGTGAGTGATCACACCATCGTGGTTATCTATTCATTAAGATCTTCTTTGTATAGTTCTTCCATGTATTCTTGCCACCTTTTTTTAATATCTTCTCCTTCTGTTAGGTCCATACCATTTCTGTCCTTTATTGTGCCCATCTTTGCACGAAATGTTTCCTTGGTATCTCTAATTTTCCTGAAGAGACCTCCAGTCTTTCCCATTCTATTGTTTTCCTCTATTTCTTTGCATTGATCTCTGAGGAAGGCTTTCTTATCTCTCCTTGCTATCCTTTGGAACTCTGCATTCAGATGGGTATAACTTTCCTTTTCTCCCTTGCCTTTTACTTCTCTTTTCTCAGCTATTTGAAAGGCCTCCTCAGACAGCCATTTTGCCTTTTTGCATTTCTTTTTCTTGGGGATGGTCTGGATCACTGCCTCCTGTACAATGTCATGAACCTCTGTCCATAGTTCTTCAGGCACTCTGTCTGTCAGATCTAATCCCTTGAATCTATTTGTCACTTCCACTGTATAATCGTAAGGGCTTTGATTTAGGTCATACTTGAATGGTCTAGGGTTTTCCCTACTTTCTTCAATTCAATTTTCTTGAATTTGGCAAAAAGTTCATGATTTGAGCCACAGTCAGCTTCCAGTCTTGTTTTTGCTGACTGTATAGAGCTTTGACATCTTCAGCTCAGAATATAATCAATCTGATTTCAGTATTGACCATCTGGTGACGTCCATGTGTAGAGTAGTCTCTTGGCAAAACTCTGTTAGCCTTTGCCCTGCTTCATTTTGTTCTCCAAGGCCAAACTTGCCTGTTCCTCCAGGTATCTCTTGACTTCTTATTTTTGCATTCCAGTCCCTTATGATGAAAAGGACATCTTTTTTTGGTGTTAGTTCTAGAAGATCTTGTAGATCATAGAACCATTGAACTTCAGTCTGTTCGGCATTAGTGGCTGGGGCATAGACTTGCATTACTGTGATACTGAACAGTTTGCCTTGGAAATGAACAGAGATCATTCTGTCATTTTTGAGACTGCACCCAAGTACTGCATTTTGGAATCTTTTGTTGACTATGAGGGCTACTCCATTTCTTCTAAGGGATTCCTGCCCACAGTAGTAGATACAAGGGTCATCTGAATTCGCCCATTCCAGTCCATTTAGTTCACTGATTCCTAGAATGTTGACATTCACTCTTGCCATCTCCTGTTTGACTACTTCCAATTTACCTTGATTCATGGACCTAACATTCCAGGTTCCTATGCAATATTGGCATCAGATATTTACAGCATCGGACTTTACTTTCATTACCAGTCACATCTACACCTGGGCATTGTTTTCACTTTGGCTCCATCTCTTCATTCTCTCTGGAGTTATTTCTCCACTCTTCTCCAGTAGCATACTGGGTACCTACTGACCTGGGGAGTTCGTCTTTCAGTGTCATATCTTTTTGCCTTTCATACTGATGTTTAAGTTTGGGATAGTTTCTCTTTGTCATCTAAAACTTTAAATTTTCCATTATTCAATGTACAATATTTTTGCGATTTAATTTCCTGAGCATAATCCATAATTTTTAAAGAACATATTTTCCATGATTTGGGGGACATATTTAAATATTTTTTCTTGTGATTCTAAAGAACTTTCATATTCTTTAACAATCAAAAAAAACTGTCAAGGTTTTGTTATTAATTTCCTGTCTCCTTTCTTTTAGTTTATTTTTTAAATTTCTACAAAATCTTTTCTAGAGTCGTGGATACCACAGTTTTTACCACTTTTTCATAAGATTTATTTAAAAATGACATCATGATATCTGAACTCTAAGACTTAGGAAATAAACCTACAGATCTCATTGTTAGCCTCTCCATTTAATGAAGATACAGGAATAATTGCACATAGTTTTTGTAGTCAGTGGTGTTAGACTATCTTATTTGGAACCTGATTTTGCATGGTGGCTTCAGGGACACAGACTTTAGGATTAAGGCCTTTAGGAAGGAAGAGGTCACACTGTATCTTGCTCTGGTTTTTCCTCTCCTTTTTTTGCACCTTTGTATGAACGTGAACCAGTTTCCCAAATCCACGACTGGTTCCTGGGCTTCCTCAACCCACCTAGAAACTGCAGCAACCTGGAAGGTGTGTCATTTAACTGACAATACTCTTGATTAGGAGTACAGGCCAATTATATAACCCTATGGTTACTCTGATTTGACTTGTTTTTAAAATTCATCTCAATAGCGCATTTACAGACTGTTCAGTTCAGTTCAGTTCAGTTCAGTCACTCATTCGTATCCGGCTCTTTGCGACCCCATGAATCGCAGCACACCAGGCCTCCCTGTCCATCACCAGCTTCTGGAGTTTACTCAAACTCATGCCCATTGAGTTGGTGATGCCATCCAGCCATCTCATCCTCTGTTGTCCTCTTCTCCTCCTGCCCCTAATCCTTCCCAGCATCAGGGTCTTTTCCAGTGAGTCAGCTCTTCGCATGAGGTGGCCAAAGTATTGGAGTTTCAGCTTCAGCATCAGTCCTTCCAATGAACACCCAGGACTGATCTCCTTTAGGATGGACTGGTTGGATCTCCTTGCAATCCAAGGGACTCTCAAGAGTCTTCTCCAACACCACAGTTCAAAACCATCAATTCTTCGGTGCTCAGCTTTCTTTATAGGCTGTTAGGATGTGTCAATTCTCCAGATGACTCATCTCCTCTTTAATTGGGCCATTTTTCTGTGTAGATGCAAAATATGTAGTTGGGAGGTAGTTTAAGAGCCTAAATTGAGTCTCTTTAACTTTATTTTCAAGGTAAGGGATCATCAGATTTAAGCATACTCCTATAATTGTTTTTAAACATACTTTACATCATATAATTAACATAATATATTACCTTTGCTTAAAAATAAAGGATGCAGAGTACATCATGAGAAACACCAGGCTGATGAAGCACAAGCTAGAATCAAGATTGTCGAGAGAAATATCAATAACCTCAGACATGCAGATGACACCACCCTTAAGGCAGAAAATGAAGAGGAACTGAAGAGCCTCTTGATGAATGTGAAAGGGGAGAGTGAAAAAGCTGGCTTGAAACTCAACACTCAAAAAATGAAGATCATGGCTTCTGGTCCCATCACTTCATGGCAAATAGATGGCAAAACAATGGAAACAGTGACAGACTTTATTTTCTTGAGCTCCAAAATCACTGCAGATGGTGACTGCAGCCATGAAATTAAAAGACACTTGCTCTTTGGAAGAAAAGCTATGCCCAAGATAGACAGCATTTTAAAAAGCAGAGACATTACTTTGCTGACAAAGGTACGTAGAGTCAAAGCTATGGTTTTTCCAGTAGTCATGTATGGATGTGAGAGTTGAACCACAAAGAAAGCTGAGCACTGAAGAATTGATGGTTTTGAACTGTGGCTGGAGTTGGAGAAGACTCTTGAGAGTCCCTTGTACTGCAAAGAGATCCAACCAGTGAATCCTAAAGGAAATTAATCCTGAATATTCATTGGAAAGACTGATGCTGAATCTGAAGCTCCAATACTTTGGCCACCTGATTCAAAGAACCTACTCATTAGAAAAGACCCTGAAGCTGGGCAAGATTGAAGGCAGGAGGAGAAGGGGACGACAGAGGATGAGATGGTTAGATGGTATCATCGACTAAATGGACATGAGTTTGAGCAAGCTGGGGTAGATGGTGAGGGACAGGGAAGCCTGGCCTGCTGCAATCCATAGGGTTGAAGAGTCAGACATGACTGAGTGACTGAAGAAAAAGAAAGGGTTAATAAAGACCCTCAAAGTCCCCTGTCACCATGCCCTCCATTCCTCCTCTCTAGAAGTAACAATTATCATTCTGACCTTTCCAGTGACCTTTCTACACATTTCTTTTCTATTCTACTCATTCTATTCTATTCTTTTCTACACAAATACACACCTTTTTCCCCTTGCATGAGGAAACTGCGACCCAGAGGGGAGACATGTTGCAAATTTATTGAAGGAAAGCGGACTGGACAATCGTTTATTAAAACCTACAATGTGTCAGACTCTGAGCCCAGAACTTTATTTGCACTAATGATCCTGGTATTTTAGTTGTGCTGGATGGGCTGTCGCACTAATCAGTTTGAAAGTTGGGAAGCAGGTGCAAAAGTCGCCTCAGTGTAGTGATACAGGATATGTATTTTGATGGCAGTTGCAGGAAGCCTAGCAGAGGGCTCCAGAGCTGCAAAAAAACAAAATACACTGTCATCCGAAGTTGGGTCTGTCAAAAAAAAAAGCTTGTGAAGCTGAAACGCGAAACGTCTACTACTTACCAAGACCTTCGGAAACTTAAGCGATAACGCATCTATGAGATTAGTCTCGGAGCTCAAAGAAGGCACCAGAGGTCGCAAAGGATGCGGTGGCAGGCAGCAACAGAGCAGCCAACCGGGAGAGCCGAGAGCGTTCCCGGACCGGTCTGGAAGTGCGCCTGCGCTGATTGCCGCGGGGAGGCGGGGCGGGGGGGCGGAGCTTGGGGTGGTCAATGAGCCTGCGCAAGCCGTGAGGCGAGTTGGGGGAGGGCGTTCCGTGTGTGTCTGTGTTGTTGTTCGGCGGCGGCGGCGGCGGCGGTAAGATGGCTGCCCACGGGGGCTCCGCGGCGTCGTCGGCGCTGAAGGGGTTAATTCAGCAGTTCACCGCCATCACCGGTAAGAGACGCGGTTACCGGAAGGTGGAGAGTGGGGTCTGGAGCGGGCGGCCGGTGTGCCCAGGGCTTCTCTTTACCTTCATGTATTCTTCCTTCGGGCTTTACCCACAGCTCCCGTCCTCCCTCCTGAGAAAGAAGCGACGACGGCGTCGGGTCTCCGGGTTCAGGCGGGAGACAGCCCCCCCCCATCCCCGCGCACCCCATACCTTCATTCTCGGTCTTCTCGCAGTGTGGAGGGAGATCTCCCCACCCTCTTTCAGCCTAGACTCGGAATGGGCCGAGCCCATCCGCCCCCGCCGGCCCGGGGACCTGGGGGCGGGAGAGGTGGGGGGCCGCACCCGGGCCACCGCCCTCCTCCTTCATCATCATATCCTCTTCTCTTTGCAGCCTTGGGGTGCAGCGCATCCCCTCACCTCTTTTCCCCTTTTTTCCATGGCCAGGTCATTCTTCACCCGTCCCTGGCCTGCCCTTCCCCTTTCTGGGCCCCTCGGAGCCATCGCTGTGGCCCTGGCGTGTTCGGGCCCTCCCGCCTTAACGGCGAGGCTGGTGGGTTCGGCAGTGCCTTTACCGATCTCGGGGGGTAGGCCGCCAGAAAGCCGGGGGTGCTGAGGAGTACCCCCCAGACTGAGGTTTTAAGAGAAGAATGAGGGGGGAACCCCCCAACCTTAATTGGAAAGACCTGGAGGAATCCTTGGTGGCGTTTCCCACCTCCCCATAATAAAATAATAAAGACTGAAACGATGGCGCCCAGGCCTCCTGCTGATAAAATAGGAATGACGGCAAAAACTTCTTTGAGACAAAATCGGTTTTTGGATGTCAGTATCCCCTAAATCCTCGGTTTTTCTTTTCGTTTGGACCCCTGCGAAGGGCACACGCAGATCCTCTTACTGCCTGGAGGAAAGGCCCTAAGCCATTCTATGAATTCTCTGTCTTGTTCTCTCTGATGGTGCTGAACTTTTTTTGCATGAGTTATTAGAGGGCGGAGCAAATGATGAAGTTCTCTGTGGAGTGATTTGAGAAGAGTACTCCATGTGCCTGAGTGTAATTTTGCCGTTCTAGTTTGTCCTTTTGCAAGGAGGTCAGAATGTTAGCAGATCTATACTTTAACTGGTAGTTTGTTAGATGCAGAGAACATTGCCACTTTTAGTGTATCCAGGGTTTGATATGCAGGATGGTTAAGTGAAATTTTATATTTTAACCACTGCCGGTTGTTTTGCGAGCTGCCGTTCCATGGTTAAAGCTAGTTTTTTTTACTTTGCAAGGATAACTAGATGTTCGATGCATTGTCTGGCTTGTGGGCATGAAGCATCAGGTCAAAGTTGATAAACTAAAATTTGTAACAAAATTGGGATGAAGAATGGATTGATAACTTTTCTTAATATTTTAAAATTGTGTTTGGAGTATTATATTAGAGATATAATGCATTTCCCAGTGTATAAGCAGGTCATTATTGGGAAAATTAAAAAATGATTGTGTATATAATACATTGTATTTATACAGAAAAATCTTTGTAGTGAATCAGATATAAAGGTGATTATTGTTATCGTTTCTTTTTAGATTTTCTAGAGATGGTTTAAGATACCACCTATTTAATTCCAGTTTTTTGGCTAACTGCTAACTACCACTTCAGGAATTCAGATTGTGTTAGACTTAAATTATTTTTTTTAATGCAACATTTTTGGTAGGCGTAGACAAAACCCAAATGTGGTGAGGTGAAGTGACTCACATAATTGCTTTAATTCTGTTTCTGTCTGCTAGTCTTCATGACTTCTTTCCTGGTCACAGGCCTTTCTACTCCTGAATCAAGTTGGAGACCCTCAGTAGACAGTGGTATCTGGAATTCTGCAAAAGGGATAATACCTTAGGTTATTCTTAATGCATTATGGATTTCTAATAATAATTTTTTACAAGATTGTAATTAATTATTAGAAACACATAATTGACCCCTTTAGTCCATTTCATATATCTTAAAAAAATTGGTGGGATCTGCCCACATATATTTTAGATTGCAATATTCATGACAAAAAGGTATTTGAAATTTATTTATTGCTAGATGAATGAAACTGACCTTAAGAACTTATACTCTATTTCAGAAAGATTTTACTTATTTGGAAGCCCAACATTCTGATAAAAGCAATGCATTTTCAAAAATGTGAGTCTTACCTCTTCTGTGGCATTTAGAAGTAGAAGAGAAAATTGAAAGAATTTTAAGTTTTATTTCTCACTAAATAGACCAAATTTCTCCCTAGGATATGTGAGTATGAAGTAGTGATTCAGACTTTTAAAAAGTACTAAAAAGACATCTAACATGAACTAATTTTGAAAAAAAAAAATCCATTTCACAATAGCAATATTATTTCACATATTATCTTCCAGTTCTTAATTACATATTTATTTTATGTCTTAAATTACTTTAAAATTATTCTTACATTGTGGATCAAAATATATATAATTTAGCATCCTGAAACTTGATTAACATTACATCCTAGACATTTTTCCTATTATTAAACTGTTTTATAAGCAAATAGCCAGGGAAATGATAGTCTTCAAAGTGATCACACTGAGCAGTTTTGTACCTTTACTTTGATGCCATTTGTATTATTTCAGGCTACATAGAAAACCATCCACTTACTTTATAGTCTACCACATTTTATAGTATTGCTCAGTTTGATCTCCCTTAATATTCTCATACATGGCTTTGAATGACTGCTGACTACTTTCAGAAGTTATATCAGTTCTCAAAACCTGAGGAATGAATGTGTCACTGGATCTGAAGGTAATTCCAAAAGAACAGTTTTTGAAAATTTTTTTGAATCATGGCAGTATCCCATTAATACCAACTTGGGCTGAGATCCAGCCATACATACACAGAATGCATAGATGTAACTGGAATAAATTATGAGATGAAGGAAACATAGATGCTATATAGTGGGTAAAAATAAATACACAATCAGAAAGTAAGACTGAAATGTGAGGGAATAGAAAGTGAGGCTGAGAAGAGTACAGGTGGTTGCTAGTATAGCATTCCTTCATAAGACTTGGTGTATAGTAAGCATTAACCAACCTTATGAAATTATAGAACCACTTTCCTTTACTCTTTCTTTAAAATTGTTGAATGAATCCATATTTCTTAAAGAAATTAGAAACTCGTATTATTTGGATTTGTGGTCCATTTCCATTCATATTCTGTACAATGTATTTTTCTTAGTATTTGAGTTCTCTGAAGAAAGGTGGTTGCCAGTGTTCTAGATATTAAAAGAAAACCCTTTTGGAATTTTAAGAACTATTTCAAAGAATGTTAATGAAGTTTGAGTAGAAATTTAGGGAGGGAATATATTTTTTTGAGTTGTGAATAGACCCTTACTAGTAAACTCAATGTTTATTAATAGCCTACTATGTGCCAGGCATGGTTCACGTCTTGGGGATACTGCCATGAAAAAGAACGTGGTGAGGCTGTCCTGAAAAAAAGCTTAATGGTTAATGGGAATACAGACACATAAATAGGTATTGTAATACATTGAAATCATGGTAAGGAGCAGTTAAGGTAGCACAAAAGAAGACGGTCAGGAAAGGCTTCCTAGAAGAGATAATTTCTTAGCTAAAACCTGGAGGAGAGATAAACATGTGCAGAGACCTGGATGAGAGCGGCACAGGTATACATACAGAGACAAGAAAGGAGAGACAGTAGGTTGAGGGAATTGATGAGAATTCCCAATGAAGAGAGCATAGCTCATGGGAGATGCAGTAAATAGGGTTGAAAGGTAGGAGGGTACCAGATTAGGTAGGGCCTTAGAACTCATGTTAAGAAATCTTGGCTTTATTCAAAATGTTGTGGGAAGTTAGTGAAAAGTTTTAATTAGGGGAGTGACACAGTCAGATTTGGGTTTTTTCAAAACAGTTTGGCTGTAGTGGAGAAGAGGTTAGGCATAGAGATCAGCAGAAGACTGTTACAATAATTGAAGATACTGATGTCCTGAAATAAGATAAGGAAAGAAGTCAGAGGAGTCAGAATGAAGTTTAGGATTCTGTTTTCGACATAAGCATATATAGTATAATTTGTGAAGATACAGAATAGTGGAAGAGGTTTAGGGAGATGATTAGTTCAGATTTAGATAAGTTGCTGTCTCTGGGACTTGCAAATGGGGCTGTTCAGTAAGGAAATGAATATTTGGATCCAGAAAGAAGAGTGACATCTAATTAGTCATGTTGATGGCAACTGAAGCTATAAAAGTGGATGGCATCTTGCAGGGAGAGTGTCGTGTGAGACTTTAACAGGCTATAAAGCTAAAGAAACTCATCAAACAGACAGTAAAAAAGAAAGTGCAAAGATTGGAAGAAACTAAAGATGTAGGAGGAAAACCAGGAGACTGTGGTGGTATTTCAAACATCAGGAGTAGGGTAATACCTCAGTATGTAGGCACTTCAGGAAACTAGAAATTATAGATTTTTCTTGGTTAGGGTTGGAAGACATCTTTGTAAACATACTGACCCATTTCTGAGTTAAAATGAGGAATGAAGGCCCAGAGAAGTAAAACGATTTAAGGTTATATGTCTAGGTCAGTGCGTCTCAAACTTATTTGAGGTCAGTGCGTCTCAAACTTATTTGTAGGAAGAATCCCCTCCTCCCTTTAAAAAAAATCTTTATAAAACAATGTATTTTTTTGGCCATGCCACATGTGGCTTGTGGGATCTGAGTTCCCTGACCAGGGATCAAACCCAGGTCCTCAGCAGTGAAAGTGTAGAGTCTTAACCACTGGACTGCCAGAGAGTTCCCCATTGACCAATACTTTTGTAAAACTACAACAAAATTAATTGCTTAAAAATTGAAATAAAAAGAACACATAAAAAATATAAGCCTAAATTATGTTTTTTTAAAAAGGTATAATTTGCATACAGTAAAATTTAATGTTTTTAGTGTATAATGTTTTTATAAGTGCGTACAGTTGTAAAACCATGATGAAGATGCACGACAGTTCTGTCCTCAGGAATTTCCTCCTGCCA